GTTGGAGTACTGCATCCAGTTCTGGGCACCACACTTCAAGAGGGATGTGGACAGCATGGAGAGGGTCCAGAGGAGGGCCACTCGCATGATCAGGGGACAGCAGGGCAGGCCCTATGAGGAGAGGCTATGGGACCTGAACCTGCTCAGCCTCCAAAAGAGAAGGCTGAGGGGGGACCTTGTGGCCTGTTATAAACTAGTCAGGGGGGATCAGCAGGCATTGGGGGAGTCACTGTTCCCCCGAGCACCGCCAGGAGTGACCAGGAATAACAGTCACAAGCTGGCAGAGGGCAGGTTTAGGTTAAATATCAGGAGGCGCTACTTCACGGTCATGGCGGCTAGGGTCTGGAACCAACTTCCAAGAGAAGTGGTGCAGGCTCCTACCCTGGGGGGTTTTAAGAGGAGGTTAAATGAACACCTTGCTGGGGTCGTTTGACCACAGTACTCTTTCCTGCCATGGCAGGGGGTCAGACTAGATGATCTTCTCAGGTCGCTTCTGACCCTAGAAACTATGAAACTATGAAACAGCCCTTTCTCAAGCTAAATGCTCATTGCTTTCAAGGGTGAGCTTGCCAGAGTCAGGCCTACAGAGCTGGGCCCCAAAAGTGTAAAGGGAAGTAGAATACAATGCCATGGAGCTCATGTTCCTTTCAGCATTAATATTTACAGGAAGACCTCAAATTATGGCAGGAGATGTTATCATCATTTTGACCAGCCGTCCCATTTCCCTCCGCAGAAGGCTCCCTTGGTTATTTGTTTCCCTGCTTTGATTGAACTGCTCTGCTAAATTCATGTTAGTAATGAAATTTGTCATTCTGCCAATCAAATTGTAAAGAGCGTAATGACCTTTCATTATAGTGAAATCCCCTTCATAATAACATTTGCTCTGCAAAAAAAATATTCTATTTCAGACCGTTTATTTGTGATAACCCATAGCTCTTTGCTAAATAAAGAAACAGGGAGTACATTAAGAGAGGGAATTTTAAATGATATTGAAAATAATTCCAAAAATGCAGGGATAGGAACCAGAAAGGCATCAATGCCTGCTGGTTTATAATGGGTCTGACAGGTTTTGTGACCTAAACACAGTGCGTTTGGACTGTGTTCATATCATGCCTGTTGCATCTTATCCAGGACCATGACATTTTAAGTCAGCTCTATCTCAGCACAGATTTTCTCTGTGTGAATAAATGGCAGTGTCCTTTACTTAGTTATGATGTCATGATGGTGATCATAAAAATAAAGGATGAAGAAAGGGCTGTTTACCAGACAACATAAGAGCAAAGCAGAAAAGCTGCTTGTGATATAAGAAATGCACGGTCCCCGTTCAAATACACCCAGACATGGTCTGTACTGAACCTGCCATCCCTGGCCTGCTACATAGCCTCTGTTTGTAGGAAGCAGTGATCAGGCTCCCAACAGAGAAATGTGTTTTTGCAGAGGTTGAATTGCTCCAACTCCACTTAGTGTCTTAGAAATGAGGAGAATGAATCTCTCACTCCACCCTGCAACCTCCTCGTCCTGTGCACAAGCATAGCATCCCCCTCCAGTAACAGCAAAACCCTAGAAAGAGAACCTATCAATACCCAGTGCCCTTACATTGGTCCCAGCATTTCAGCTCTGTGCTCTCAATGAAATGCTTTCTCCACCCCCCTCCTGCCTTTGATCAAAGGATGGGTCCTTCTGAGGGCTGGTGTGGATTTCCAGGCTGGAGGTGGAGAACCCCAGTCTATGTGACCCTCCCCTCCTTGGTTCTGTCATCAGCAATACAAAATCCTTCTCTTCTCCAACTTATTCAGCTTGAATCCTGCAGGATTTGCATCGGAGGCAGAATGTCAGAGCAGAACTCGCCAGCTCAGGCTGGTAGCCTTCCCGGGCAGGGGACAGGAGTGAACCCTGGCTCTGCTGCCAACCCTGTGCCGCTCGTGACCCAGACAGACTCCAGGGACAAATGGAGCAAAAAAATGGATTTCCTCCTCTCGGTAATTGGATTTGCTGTCGATCTGGGCAATGTCTGGAGGTTCCCTTATATCTGTTACCAGAACGGAGGGGGTAAGGACAAAGCTTTGTTTATTGTAATTTGCTTTTAAAGAAAAAGTAATGGCTTTTTAAAAAAAAAATTGGACTTGGAAAACTTGTTCTTTCTTCCCTTTGCTTGGTGGTTGTTTTACAGCCATGACTGCCTGAGCCAGGCAACTTCAGGGAATGATACAACTTCAGCTTTGATGCATCTCTCTTTTCCATGTTACCTCTACTTGTTTTAAATCTTTCCCCCACCCATGTCCTTTCTTCTGCAATTAGAGGTGTGAATTTCTGCTTTGAGGAAGAACACCATATGTTTTGCAATTAATACATTTAAAATTAAAAAGAAAGGAAAATTATGAAAAAGGACCACAAAGGTCAAATCCTGCTCAGTGGCTGACAACTTTGTTGTCTTGCCAGTTTGTGAAACTGATCCCTTTTGATGTCTTGCAGTTTAAGATCATTATTTCAAACATCCCAAATATCCTTGATTTGAGATTACAGGCATATCTCTCGTACAATTACAGTCCTTTAAAATAAAGCCAAAAAAAGGCTTGTCACGGAGCTGTCCGTGGTACTTGAATTTAGATGTCTATAAAGCAGCTTTCAGTAGGCTCAACCAATTAATTAAACGTTCTGATTATTTCTTCCTGACAGAAATTAACTTGAAGTTCAAAATTCCCCAGAATCCTACTCTTAGAAAATGTTTCTAGCAACTGTTTAGTCAATGATCTGTTTTAAATAAGAGTAGAAAAATCTCTTTTTAAGAGTGTAAAAATGTGGAAATAAAGATGCTTTACGTTGTTTGCAGAAAACACGGTGCATTTGATTGCCAAAAGTTTGGGAGTTCGGGTGTCATGCTTTAATGTTTGGGCAAATTACAAGACAATAATTATGCTATGCCGAAGGCTATAGGCTAGGTTCTGATTTCAGCTTCATTCGTGTTGCTTCAAAGCATCTGCACTTCAATCCATGGGATTACTCCAGATGTACTGCAGTGTAACTGAGAGCAATTAATGGCTTGTTGTCAATCTACCTTAAAACATGACACACAGTAGAAATCTAAAGGGCATTTTATAAAAGCATTAAAACACTAAGATGCTGTTCTTAAAAAAAAAATTAAAGCCCAAAAGGGCACAAAGAGAAAGAGTGAGCACCTGTGTAAGCAGCAAATGTAACTTGTTCTTCATTTGTGTTCCTAACATAAAATAATAATGATAATTGGGCTTGGACTGACTGGCCTTCCCTTCATGACTTTGGCCTGCAATAGACCTTAGAGAACTGTTAGCACCCTTGTTCAAAGACCACCTCCTAAGCTCCTTCTCCACAGCATACCCTCTCGTTTCATCAAACCCCATTTCTCTGCTTCTCTCTCAATGAACCACTGAGGCAATGTAGGATGAGACAAGTTGTTACACTGGCATCCTGCAAGTTATTTGCAAAGTCAGAAAAAAGTTTTACGCCCTATCCACAGTGAATGCTCTGTTTTGTTTGCATTTCAAAGTGGCGATGATCAGATGGCACAGCCTGGATGAATTCAGAGGGTCAGTGCCTTTGCTTCCCTTGTGTCACGCAATGCATGCATATCTTTTCGGACTCTTCCTCGGCAAATTAGCAGATTCTATAAATAGCCTGGAAGAGCAACTGCAGCGGGCCATGTCTCTGTTATTCCATGCCTGTGTTTCTCCATGTTTCTCGGACTGCTTCCTGCTGACCTCCAGCAGGGCACACATGAGGCATGATAGCACTCATCATGTAGGGAGATTGCTAGTGCCCCTGGCACAACATCAAACATACAGCTCAAGCAACAGTTGGTTAACCTCATTTCTAGCTGCTATAGGAGACATGCCGGGGGTGCTGTTTGTTTGCCTCTCGCCAGTCTATCATGGGTGAAGGGTGGAGTTACAAACACTGAAAAAAAAAATGTCACCAAATGGCATCGTCCCTTCCCAGGCCACTTGCAATCCTGACAAACCATGCGACATTTTGGAACCCCAGAGGGATGTGGGGGTGGCCATTCAGTCCAGGTCAGGCAGAAATGGCTTCTACCAAAGGTGGAGGGCGACTGCCCCAGCACCTGCCAGGCAACACCTGTTCTGACTGTAACTGGAGTGTGGTACACCCCCTCTGCCTTCCTCTCCAGTGGGACCCAGCATTCAAGCAAATGTCTGTGGCCAGTGTCGTGGCTGCCTATATTCACAACGCAGTCATGCTCAGGATTGGGCCCCATTGTACCAGGTGCTGTACAGACATAGCTGGATTGACCGCTGTAGTAGCTGGAGGCCTGCCTGTGACTGTGAAGTGAGGCCATTCCTATAAGGCCAGGCCACTTTCCCTCCATACCTTCCCCTTCACAAACCTGGCTCCACTCAAGTCTTCCCAGCTAAGAAGCCCTTGCACTCTGTCTTTCTGGAGAGCAGTGAAAGGCAGTGACGTTGGACTGTGTTATGTATGCAGTTCTGGTACACTGCCAAGGTCAGAACCAGATTATTAGAGGAAAAAGAGCTCTTTTCAACTGATATGGGGAGTGCTGGGGGCTTTACCTGAGACCCCTATGCCTGAGAGTCCCAGCACACGTTCAGAAGACCTGGGTAGTTCAGAGACTCATCCAGATTCCGGTGTCCTGATCCACACACAACATGGGCATGACCCCTGTGCAGGTCCCTCCATGCCTTGTCACGCACCTTTGGGAAGAGCAGTAAACTTCCTTGCTCGTATTCACTGCAGCCATGAAGTTGCCCACATCTTCCGATGTTACCCTTGCCAATGGCCATTCAGCAAAAGGAAAACCTTGCATGCCCACTGGCTGGGACAAGTCAGACCAGCCATCTCTTTGGGTACAGGACTTTCAGTGGAGCTAGGGGGGCCTAAGTTAACTAATACCCTGCAGGATTACTCTGAGGAGTGTAGAAAGCAGTTTCAGGTAGAAAGAATCCAGTCGGTACAAGTCCAGCCCCAGTAATTACTGCCTCATTATGAAAAATGTAAATGACAATGTTAATTATTTATCTGGGAGAGGGACAATGCATATTCATTGGGATGTTCCTCTATAGAACCTTTTCAAACCTGAAAGGTGCTTAATGCCTCTTTCCTCCCCATTCTGATGCTGTCTAGCTTGGGGTTACAGCTGGTTCATCTCTTCCTAACTAAAAGCAGGATGGCTTTAAGCCACAATACGGCCACACAAAGTCCAGAAAGTCCAGCTTTTTTGGAGCTGTGTGTCCCTGCAGCTCCTAAAAAGAACACCCTGATTCCTTAGCAAAGTAAAACAGGGGGAGGAATGGGCTTGAAAACTGTGTCTGTGGCAGATTGGCAGTGAGGGGATGCAGACCCCTGGTGAGCCCACATCTCTGGAGAAGCCACTTGGGCGATGCCGCCCCTTGGAACCAGGCATGAAATCCTGCCACTGCTGAAGTTGACAGCAAAGCTCCTGTTGACTTCAAGAGGGCCAGGCCCCCATCCCAGATGCCATCCCCTGTGGCTCTGACATGGTGGCTACTCCTTCCCGGAGCCTGTATGCAGCACTGATACTCACCCAGCCTGAGTGAACCTGCCCCCCGCTGTCAATGCCTACAATGATTTTGCTTCACTCTCTGCAGGGGCCTTCCTCATCCCATATACCCTGATGGCCGTCTTTGGGGGGGTGCCTCTTTTCTATATGGAGCTGGCCCTGGGACAGTTCCACAGGACAGGAGCCATCCCCATCTGGAAACGGATCTGTCCCATCTTTAAAGGTAAGACACCCTCCCCACCCCGAGTTTAATTCTGGTGTACGTGCTCGATTCTCTGCTTTGTCCACACAGGAGATGACAGGAAATTCCTACAACCATAGGCCCAAACCACACAACAATATCTCACCAAAGTATTTTTGCTCAGTCCTCATGGAGAGCTCAGCAGTCCAATAGTCCCTTCTAACTGATTAGCTCACTGGGCTTTGCAAATACTAACTAAGCTTTGCAACAAGCTGGCCAGCAGACTTTGAGCAAACACAGCTCACAGAGGGGGAAATTCATGTGCAGAGAGAAATGAACTGATTTGCGCACAGTGACTCACATCCACAGTCAAGATCAAGACCCAGGGACCCTGATCCAGCCCCTGAGATGCTTCCTGTATCAGACAGAGTTCCTCAAAGTCAAAGCAGTCTCCCCAAAGATTTATCCCATGATTTAGTGACCAACATTTGCCAAAGTTCTGCCATTACACTGCATTCTCAGGGCCCCGGTTTTGAGTCCTCCACTGGTAGATCCCCTGCAAGGGCATGATTTCCAGAAGGATGATGCCTCTAGCTGAGAAATAAAAATAGAAGACTCCAAAGTCACCACTCACTCTACACTATCCTGTCTGAATGCCACATGCAGGAACCCTGCCCACACGGCAGTCAGGAGGATCAGGAACATCTCTTAAAGCAATCTCTCACCCCTCACAGGGATTGGCTTTGCCATTTGCATCATTGGCCTGTACGTCTCCTTCTACTACAACACCATCATCGCCTGGGCCCTGTACTATTTCTACTCCTCCTTCACCAGCTCCCTGCCATGGACAAGCTGCAACAACCCCTGGAACACACCCAACTGCACCAACTACTTTGGAAAGAGCAACGTGACCTGGAGCAACTTCTCCAAGTCACCAGCTGAAGAGTTTTATATGTAAGTGCATTTAAGTGGAAGACATAGGTGGGCTGGGAAAATTCCTTCTCTCCTTGGGGTCCAGCCACATGCTAAGATCTGCTGAGTGAAGGACCAAGATCTCAGAGGCTTATAAACACATACCCCACTGTAATTTGCAGCTCTTTGTATCTTGATGTAAATTAGACTGAGATTCTGAAGGGGCAGACATGCAACTACCCAGGGCAGCTCATCCAACATGTGGCTCTGACTGCCTAGCTGGTAGGTGAAGGAGGAGCAGGTAACGGCTTGTAGCAAATGGCTACCCTAAAGGAGTCTAGACAGACAAAACCTAACCCAATGTAATTTCTGCTGGTGGAGTTTTACACCAGATTCCTGCAGAGCTAAAACTCCACCAGAGTAGGCAAACTTGCCCTGGTTTAGCGGCTTATGTCATCTGCCTGCTCCTTTGTTTATGCTGGTGTAGTACTTATTACACCGCTATAAATGTATTGTCTGTCCAGCGCTTCAGTGATTTGTTTGCCTAAGGCTGCTACCCACACTGAGTCAGGAGCTGAGCCTAGAGTTCAGGAGTTACCCGCTACTAAAGCAAGCTCTCTGCAGGTCTGCCGCAGCTCTGACGGTCTAAGCTGGGCACACCTGGGGCAGAAACAGATCCAGCCACATGACAAAAGACCCACAGGTGACAAGACTAGGATGTGCCTTCCCCTTCTTGGATCAGCACCTAATCCTGGATTTCTTTTGCCGCAGGAGGAAGGTCCTTGAGATTCAGAAGTCCAGTGGCCTGTATGATGTGGGTGGGATCCGCTGGCAGCTCCTCCTGTGCCTGCTCCTCATCTTCACTATTGTTTACTTCAGCCTGTGGAAAGGTGTGAAAACCTCAGGGAAGGTAACCAAGCCTCCAGCTCCAGTTCTGCCCAAAGGCCTTTCTGACAGTGCCCCATCTCAGGAGAGCCCTCACACCCTGTGAAGAGGACCCACTGCATAGCATCCTTGCTCAAAACAGAGGGTCCTGCCCTGCATGCTCTGCCTCTCCCAAACACACACCTTAGCACAGGAGCCTGGTTAACCAGGTTCAGTGATGCTGCCTGACTTCGCAGCAGAGGGGGACTACAAATTGTAAAGGGTTGTCTAAACCAGACTGATTCCCCTGTGTGTTAGGAGTCACCCAAACACTAAGTATATTTGGGCACTCAGATCTGATAGGTGACAACCTGCTAACAAAGAGGAAAGGCAAAAATCCCCCAAGGGATTGTAACAACCTGCTCTGCCCTTATGGGGTGTAAAAAATATAGGTCATTCTTTCCTGGTAGCCTCCTTGCTCCACGCAGTGCCAAAATCTTGCAGGAATGCTGCTTGCTTTCAGCCCACTGCTAAAGAACAGCACAATCCCGTTATACAGAACCCCTGTGGGACCAGGAGAAAAGCTCATTAAAAGAGGGTGCTCGCTATAAAGAGGCTAGTCAATTTGCTGTATCTTAGTAATGAAAAAAATTGGCTCCTACTGCTGGGATTGTTAAAAGGGGGATGTTATAAACAGGGTTCATTATAATGATGTTGTGCGATAGCATCCCCCCAACCAGGCTGTGTTAATTTGACTGGCCATTCCGGTTTCATCACTGCCAGCAAGGCCTGGGGTGCCTTCTCTGTCTGTCTCCAGCTGGAGTCTGCCTCCCTTGTCCCTGCCAGTGACATCTGGCCCTGCTTTCCAGGTGGTGTGGGTGACAGCAACTCTGCCTTACGTTGTCCTCCTCATACTACTGATTCGGGGAGTGACTCTGCCTGGGGCATGGAGAGGGGTCGTCTTCTATCTTCGACCCAACTGGGAGAAGCTCCTGAGCACTGCAGTAAGTGTTAGCAAACAAGTCCCCTTCAAGGGCTCTGCCCTGTGTAGCCAGGTGTTTGTTGGGTGTAGCCAAGTTTTGAGGAGTCATGGAAGAGCCTGTGAGTCAAGCAAAGAAGGGTTAAATGCTCTGTTTTGGTTTTATACCAGAAACTAGCATAAACTTCAGCACTGGATTGATGACCCTAGAGAGATCATGTGTCTCTCAAGGCAGGCAGAAGAGGGACCTGCTAGCTCCACGCACTCCCTGGGGTTCATTGCCTAGACCCAGTAGCCTTGTCCACAGCAGGGAAAATCAGATGCACAAGAATACTGGCTGCAGTGGAAGCTGTCCCATGATACAGAGTGGCTGCTATGTCATAGGACACTGCTCTGAGTGTGACATGGATGTGAAAATGTCCATGAGTGGCCTTTCCACTACAGTGTGGGGCTTGAGACACAAAAGACAAGAACTGGCAGGGAGATATTGCTAGAGCACCACGCCAGGGAGAGAACATTAGCCACAGCGTCACATACTTTAATGAGAAAGTAGGTGTACCTGTTGCATCTCCCAGCCTGGTAATCTGCTCCAGCCACCTCAATGGACAATGGCCTTTAACGAGGAGCTTGCTCACATAAGAGCCAGCACTTGCAAGTCTATTGGGCACATGCCCGGCCCAGACGAGAGAACCAGAGAGTAATGGGTTTATTATTCCTGCACAAGATAGCAGCATGCTAGCCACGCTCTTGGAAATGCAAATCTTTAATTGGATCACCCATCTCATTTGCTGCCGGGTTCCGTTCCTGCCGCGTTCTCGCCTGCCCATATAAAGCTGGCCTGACAATAGATTTCCTGTCTGTAATTAGCACAGGGCTGCACTTGAGCATTTTCATGAAAGGTAATCAGCGATATGCTCTCCAGTTAGAGCCTTTCATAACAGAGACGGGGCTAATCATTCAGCAGCCCTCCCTTTTCCCAGTCACTGTGAGTACAGCTGGAGCAAAGGGAAAGTTTCAGGGCACCCCAGGAAGCAAAGCTGCCACTGCCCAAATGCCTGGGTGTACACCCTGTGCACCCTGGCCCACTGGGCAGGACCCGCCTAGGAGCTGGGCTTTCTGGCTGAGCCCAAGCCCTCAGAAGACATCTGCAATCCTGCCTCCATCCAGCTTCTCTGCTTGCTCTGCCAGGTTTGGGTTGATGCTGCTGCCCAGATTTTCTTCTCCTTGGGCCCTGGATTTGGCGTTCTTCTTGCCTTGGCCAGTTATAACCACTTCAACAACAACTGCTACCGGTAAGAAGCCAACTGGGGGCTTTGCTTTGGTGCCTTCAGCATCCCAGAGGCTGGACTCCCCTGCTTCCACACAACACCAGCTTGTCTGCCTGTGGGAAGTCTGTCAGGTGGTGTTCCAGCTGCTAAAAAAGTCTGCCCAGCTCTGTTTACTCCTAGGCAAGCTGAGTTATCCTGTCCAAACACAGCTACTGCCTCTAGCAAGAATCCTCTTGCCTCTGGGCCAACAACTCCTGCAGCTAGAAATGCAGGAACTTTTGGGAACGGCGCCTGTCCCAGTCACTCTCCCCCTTTCTGCCTTTCAGGGACGCGATCGTCACCAGCGTGGTGAACTGCCTGACCAGCTTCCTCTCGGGCTTTGTCATTTTCACAGTGCTGGGCTACATGGCTGAAATGAGGGACGTGGAAGTAGAAGATGTAGCAAAAGACAAAGGTTTGCCCTCCATTAGCCTTGGAATAGTCCCTTCTGCCCTCCAAGATAATGGATACTGGTCTGCAACCATGTGTTGGGGGCTGGGTGATTAATGGTCAATCCTGCAAATCCAGATCCTGAGCTATACCCCTGGCTTTGCTGCATGAGCTACAGCATAGGCGACTGGTAGGAGGGAAACAGGACCAGGGCGTGTTCCCCCCTTGACAGGGTCGTCTTCTCTGCCAACACCAGCGGCAGCTTCTGTGGCTGCTCGCCAGCCCTGTTCCCACCGCCAATGCCACCGCTGGCTTCTGCAGGTGCCCCCCGCCAGACTCGGGAGGCACCAGTTGCCCATGAGCTCCGGCAAGCTCTGTCACCTTCCTGTGCCTCGACTATTCCCACCTAATTCAGCAGAAGGAAAAACTACCTTCTTCACAGGCCTTAAGTAATGGTTGTCAGGACAATGACCTGGCAGCTCAGGTGGGGGCCTTCCCTAGGAGTGACCAGGCACTGAGGGGGCTTTGGCATGAATGGGGACAGAAGGCCAGACCTGGCAGGTGTGAGTAACAGAACAATCTTCACCTGCACAAAGAGGAGTGAGGCACCTACTTCTCTGTGAGGGTTGGGCACTGAACTGTCATTCACTCCTGCCTTGGACAATCTTCTCCCAAGAGCTTTTCTAACATGGCATGAAAATCCCCATACTTCTGCCAGTGGGCACGAGGCAGAATTTTTGTCACACAGGACCACATTCAAAGCAACTGGAGAGCAAGGAATAACCAGCATCTCCCTTCCAGGTCCCAGTCTGCTCTTCATCACCTATCCCGAGGCCATCGCCAACATGATGGGCTCTACCTTCTTTGCCATCATATTCTTCCTCATGGTGATAACTCTGGGGCTGGACAGCACGGTAGGTAACTCCATGATCCAGGAAAGACCTAAATGCCCATTCCAGAGCACCCTGCCCGAGAAGGATTCCTCCGTGGCCAGAACTCTGGTCAGTGCTGGGCATCTGTCCAAAAAACAGGGCCACAGGCTGTGAAAAATACCCTGTCACTTCTCCTCTCAAAATGACCCATGTTCAGGTTATTTCAATGGGCCTTTTATTCATTTCTGCTCTGTATAAGGCTGATTCTGCCTCCCCCAGGTCCCTTTATTAACTTCAAAGGGACAAGGAATTGGTCCTAAGCGATAATCCCTGAAGGGTAGGTAATCCCTGGTGTTACTCAGCCTAGTGATGCTGCTGACGAGCCCCCAAAATGACAAAAGAAGTTGACTTTTCTCAGAGCTGGCTAGGAAAGCAGGGACAAGCACAGCAGGATTGGTTTGCATAAAAAGGTCCCCTCTGTTTTATGATTTTTATTTCACTCCAGCAATTATTGTAAGAGCCCATGATTTTTTTTTTCATTTGAAAATAAGATGCGATGAACCCTAATATTATCCAAGGATAACATCTGTGCACCATACTCCAAATTTGGGGTTTGATGGACAGTGTGCAGCCAGGGAGAGGCCTTTGAAGCTAATCAAAAAATGAAATATCCAGAAAGAGTCTATGGGGTTATCGTGAATTTTGCACCAAGTGCAGAATCTGAGCCTTTGTTTTCTCTTTCTGGCTCCCCCACTGTTTCCTTTGGTTCCTGCGTAGTTTGGAGGCTTGGAGGCTGTGATCACAGCAATAGTGGATGAATACCCTCACATCCTGGCAAAGCGGAGGGAGCTGTTTGTTCTTGGCCTCATCACCATCTGCTTCCTGGGTTCTCTCACTACACTGACGCACGTGAGTATGTCAGAGAGTGGATTCAATGCCACCTCCTTCTGCTGCTGGACCTTCATACAGGCTGCATGGGAAATGCCTGTGGGAGAGCAGGCTGCTGCTGACATACAGCCCCGCAATGGGAATAAGTAGAGTATCTTCATCTTCCACAAAGGCATTCGCCAAATTTTTGCCGCCATTATGCTGTCATTCTCCTGGCTTGAGAAGGTCCCTGGGATTCCTTTGCAATCGTCCCTACTCTCCACTACCCTGGCTCATTTTAAGTCCTTTGCTAAGTTTCCCACTTCGCACTTTATTCCATTTTGCAGATCACACTAACCACCAGTCCCAGGCCAAGTTACTGGGCAGCCCCCACAGCCCACATAACCCTGCGGTTTGCTTGTTGCCTCATAGCTGCTACATAACCACACTTCCTCCCTCACCCAGACCTAATTAGCTTCCTTAACAGTCCTTTGTGTGCAATTTGGTCAAAGCCTTTTCCAAATTCCTTATAAAGCCTGGAGCTCTATTAACCAGCTCCCCAATCTCACTGTTTTACTGACACACTCAAACAGAAACACTCTAGTAGACTGGTGAGCCCTGGTTTTCTTTTTCAGGCACCAGGCTGGCTTATCCTGGCAATGTTCTAAGTAAGGTTCCCCACTTCCAGTTTGTTTTTTTTACATCTGTTTTTTCTCAACTGACCCCAGCAGATTCTCTTAGACTGGCCTCCTTCACTCAGCCTTCCTTACAGGACTGCACCTGCAGCAATATCTCAAGGAAGAGAAAAGTCTCCTTCACCTAAGCGAAGTTGCTAAGCCCCACAAGGAGCTTAGCAACTCCCCTCCAGTGCATGGATTGAATGCTTGAAAAAGCCAGCACAGTGGAAGGAGCAAGAATCCAACATTGCCCAGTCTACCCAAGAGTCACTAACATTACAGCCAGCTTGCATTTGTCATTCCAGGGTGGGGCATACGTTGTAAAACTACTGGAAGAGTTTGGCGCTGGATGCTCGATTCTAGCTGTAGTGCTGTTAGAAGCAATAGCAGTGTCATGGTTTTACGGTAAGGAAACTCCCTTTGGACCCCTCTGTTATTAAGTGATGACCCTGAACAGCCAACGATCTTGACCCTTCAAATACTTGTGCACAGGGTTCTCTGTGCACAAGACTTAATAGGACTTATTCTTGTAGCCACGTAAGCAGTCTTGGCTAGGCTATAATGAAGGACAGTCTCTCATGAGCATGGCAGTTGTGAGCTTTCTCCGTGAGTTCTCTGCAGGTGCTGACTCTCCCTTGGCGAGCAGTGACACGATGTTTGTGGTCCATTTTCTTCTGCACAGGAATTCAGCGGTTCTGTAACGATGTGAAATCCATGCTGGGCTTCGCCCCAGGGATGTTCTGGCAGGTCTGCTGGGTGGCCATCAGCCCAGCCTTTTTAGCAGTGAGTATTGTTGTCCCAAGCTGGGGCTCAGCTTGTTAACTTTCCTTTAGACACCTAACCATGCACGTGCCAGCTGGAATGCTGACATAAGACCTGACAGATTTTGGGAGGACATCTATAGCACAATATGACCTATGTAGTAACAGCTGAGGTAACCTCCATCTAGCTAATATAGAGAACACAGTCTGTGAAGATGCAGCAGCTATGGTGGATCAGCTCAGTGGATGCATTTGCACTTTAGCACAGGCTATCCAAACCCTCTGGCAACCCTATTAACTAAAGCCCTTGCCATCATGTCTCCACTGCTTTCAGTGCCTGTGTTAGCAATGTCAAAGCAAGCTTAGGTCTGCCTGCACCCACCACTCACCCTCCCTTGCTCCCCAGTTCAGTCACCCTTGGGTGTATAAAGAAGGAGGGCTGTTGTTTATGAAAGGCCACCTCCTTTGTTTTCTGTAACCAGAAATCAATAGGAAGTTTGCTAAATAAAGTGGGAACATGACATTCTATCCATACACACTGAGACTATGCACTTGTCAAATAAAAAGGTTGCACAGCACGTATTGATCTGCATGATCTATATATCATGGGCCACAGCTCACAGTTGGCAGCTGCAATTCAGCTTGAGCCAATGAAGTTATGCCTGCTTACACCAGCAGTGATTTTGGCCCTGTCATGTTCCTTCTATAAAATAAATCCATCTACTCTAAAGATTGCAATGTATCAGCTTTACTGTGGCCCAGCTTGCCAGACAGGCTATTTTAAATGCAGCTCCAGTGCTGCACTGTGTACTGGATCCATCACCTTTGAAATGTCAGCCTTACACTGGACTTCAAAGAATGCCCATCTGTAAGAGAGAGAACGTACTAATATCACCTGCCTTCCTGGGGGGAGAGGGATTGTGAGGATTAATAGTTGTTTTAAGGACTTGAGAGCTTAGGTTTTAGGGGCAAAGTACTATAAGCAAGGCAGAAGGAAAATGAATGACTGAGTTACACCAGTGAGAAATAACCTCAAAGGGGCAATCTCTGAGAGGTCTTCCTCTGATGAAAACCTGACAGATGACCTAGAGCAGAGCTAGTAAGGAAAGTCTGTCTGGAAAATGTTGATTTAAACCCCATACTGGCCTTTAATAACTCAGCATGAGTTTGTGAGTTTGCTGGGTACCAGTCTGAGAGTTTGTGAGATGCTGTATACCAATTTGCTGGCACTAGGGAATTAATCCCAGCTAAGAAGGCACAGATGCACAGATGATCCTGGTATAATCATGAATAAGTATTACAAGGGAGAAAAAAACATGCATGCTGTGTTGAATGGAATTTTAGTACATCATCATATACAGTCATTTCTAAATTACCAAAAATGCCATTACCCCATGAATCAGGGTGGATCATGTGCTTTTCATTGGCCCTTGGAATGCAGGTCTTGAAATCATACACCTCTCACATAGCTTTCTCGCTCTGTTAACAGTTTATAATAGTCAGCTCTCTCCTGGACCAGCCACCACTCATGCTCTTTGACTACCAGTACCCAGAGTGGAGCATCTCAGTAGGCTACCTCATCGGAGCATCATCTTTCATCTGCATCCCTGTCTACATGGTGTACAAGCTGGTCTGGACGCCTGGATCTCTCAAGCAGGTCAGGAAGAGCAGGATGTGATGTTATGCAATCCTGTGTCGTTCAGATATTGCAGGAGGCTGGGAGCCAGCGTTGGGTGCAGTGCAATGGGACAGGCTAGGCCAGCCTCACAAAGGAGTTCCTTATGCAAATACACTCTGACACAACTGTGGAGTTACAGATCTAGGGGAAACAATACCACCCCTGCACAGCCCCCTGGTCTGGCTTCCCCACATTCATGAGTCCAGGGTTTGGTCTAGTCACCTCCTCCCACCTGCTTGGCTTTCTCTTCTGCTTCTGGGGGTGGAATGACCTCCTCTTGCTGACTGAGAATTCTGCTCTCAAAACAGCCGCTGACCCCTGTCTTGTCCCTGTGCTTCTAGCAGGTAACTCCCAGATGTAAGCCTCTCCTTCCCTTTCTCTCATATAAAAATGCTCCTGCCAGCTTCAGGAAAGAGTTCCCTTCAAAGACAAGAGCCCAACATGTAGCAAACCTATTGCTGCACTAGAGCAGAACCATTTGATGGTGGCCCTTGCCTCCGTGTCACGGCCCCTGGACCTAGCTACTCAGCTGGCTGCCTGGTTCCTGCTGTGAAATGAGGGTCCAAAGCCAAGCAGGTAGTGATGTTACAACAGTGTGTGTAATGTGATGTCATTACAAAGCAAAGTGGAATTTATTATCTGACCCAGAGGTCATAGACCTCATCTCCCCATCCACAAGGCACCCCTTCCTAGTACCTGATTGCACCAGACGCTGAGGCTTTCAGTGGTAGATGGTTGTGATGGGAAAGATAAATCACCCAGCTCAGGTTGGACTCTCACCAGAGCTGTAGAAGGTAACCCATTTCCTCCTCATCCCTGCTAGCGTCTGGCAAAGTGCATTCGGCCGGAGAAAACCATCCGAGACCAGCCAGCAGAGTCAGTCGGTATGTCACCTGTCCCCTAATTCTACAGCCCACAGAAGGGAGGTGAAGACTGCCAGTCGGCTCTGTGATTAACAACATAACAAACTACATGGACAGGGAGAACAGCTACGATCATGATTTGAATTGCTCTCTTGCGTCTCTCCCTAAGACCTGTGCACACTGGTCAAAGCCAGCTCAAGACCTGAAGCACACAGCAGTGCCACTCTCTGCAGACTGTTTACCCATGCCATAGCAGCTGTACATGACCATGCGACTCAGTAAAAGCCTGTACTATCAGTGTCCTAATCATACGTCTAAGGGTCCCGATCCAGTTCCTATTGAAGGCAGAGATGATCTCTGCATCAGCTGCAATGAGAGCAGGATCGAGATTCACCTGTGTCTGAGTTATCAATAAAATTCTAGTTTGACCAGAAGTCTCATTGTCACGGTGTGGACAGCCATAGTTACAGAGCAAACTGTGATCCTTCCCCCACATCACACCCCCATGCCTAAGGCCAATGCACCCCCATTACTGGCCACAACATGGCAGCTGCTTCCACACCTGAACCTCCTGCCTAAGTGCTAACTGACAGCATTAGGCAGATCTGTGGTTCAGGCTGGGAGACCCAAGAGAACTACAGACTTTGGAAGCACAATACCCCTCTTCCAGTCTCAGGCAGGCATTTTTTCTCCAACTGCACATATGCACTTTCCACACAGTGGAGCTGATTTCACTGCTACACCTGGATGCCTATACAGCTCTAATGGTCTATCCTGTGTTATATTCCAACTTAAATCCATTTCTCTACCATGAACACTTCCAAATTGTCTTGCCTGTCCTCTTCATTATCCAGGAGATCTCTTGTTTAGAGATAGATTTGCCTTTCCCCTTCCTCTTCCTGCAGTGAAGTCACAAGGTGCTCTTTAGGCTGCTACATTATCATAGTATACCTTGACCCCCCCTGAGAGACATTTGTCTAGCCTGGTATATTCTGTTCTGTCCTGGCTGCCACTGGAGCAGACACCTGGATATGATGGACTCCAAAGTAGGAACCTCCTCCTTCCACCAATGTAGGGAAGAAAGCAGCAGGGTGAGGAGGGTCAAGGACTTGCATGCTTATATTTTTTTTACAATTTGAGCCAAATTCAAGTGGCACAAAGAGTGCAGTAAGTTGCATGTGGAAAATAGGTTGATCAGAAACTGAGGGCAAGGGGTAACAGACTCTGACTTGCAAGGCAGAGTGCTAGCAGATTTGCAAAACCTGAGCAGCTCACGCCATGAAGGGGCCCAGAAGCATGGTGGATCACAGGGATAATGATTCCCAGGATAGCCTAAGATGAAGGATGAGTTTGACAGTGATCTGTTGCCCTACTGTATCTAACGAGGGTGATTCCACTGACTGGGGTGAACTTGTCCTGGATTTGTGCCATGACCACTGGAGAAGCTCCTCTCCCTTTTCTCAGACATGTGCAGATAGTGGCTCTTCCATCCGATTAGTCTGACAGAAAGAATGCCATGGGAGGTGCACCTGGGACTGCATTGAACCCATTGTTCCAATATCAAAGTCCCCTTTGAAAGAGAAAACAAAGCACAAGTTGTGAGCAGAGCTCATTGAAGGGCAGCAAAATAGGCTTCCATCATTGCTTGCTTGTTTGAATTGAGAATAGTTCCAGCTAACGTGGGAGGAATTCCTTACTGACAAGTCTGATTCTAAGCCAACTTCACAATCCTTCAGGTTTCAGAAGGGCACAGAGCTGCAAGTGCCTGCTACAAGAATAGGACTGTTCTGTTTGACATCACTACGTGTGAACAGGCTTTGCTGAGAAATGCCATCAGTCGGTCTTTGGTTCAAATGTACTGAACGCCAAGTGCAAAAACTGTTTATTCAAAATGCAAGTGACATGGAGAACAGATTAGATGGTGATTATTATGAGATAAGCCTAGTTATGGATCTGGGCTCTGACGTTTTCAAGGGAATTCAGAATACCTTGCTGGCCTTTTTTAAACACTGTTAGAGATTGGATTAGCTTCTATGGTGGATGTAAATTTGTACTGATAACTAGCCAGTGCATGGGGTAGAGGCAGGTCCTGTCAACAAATGCCTGTAACTCAGCTTGCAGCATCTGTCCTGTCTTAGCACTTAACTATCACGCCACTAAACTGAGTGCCCAGGAGGGAAATTCCATTTAAAGGTGATCCTCAAAGCCATCACTCACTAAACTGTCTCAAACATGACAATGCTACATTGTGCCCCTCTAGTCATAGATCGCAAGTCACTAAAAGCTGATATTGTTATCCCATTTTAGAGATGGGTATACAGAGGGGAAGGAAGTGACTTCTCCAGACAGCACAACAAGGGCAAATCCCAGACCTGGCATCCTGCTCCCTAGGCCAGGCTTCCCAAACAAGTAACAAAAAAGGACACGTAGACATAAACCATAAACACATGTACATATGCAGGCAAAAAGCTGAAGCTCACTATTTCTTCTATTTACACACCTAGGCTCAAATATAGATGCCCCATTGTATCCCACAACTCTGGCAACATCATATTTACCAAAAATGCTCTCCCTAAACAGTCAGACAAGGTTCTTTGGGTGAATCTGATATCTTTTATTAGACCAACTTAAATACTTAGAAAACAATTTTTAAGCAAGATTTCGGGTTCAAAAACCATAGCATCTTGGATTTCAGTTTAGACACTCCAGTAAGACAGGAGTGCTCCTCAGCTATTTTATTTTAAAAAAGCAAATACTAAGACAAACCATTGGTAACTCAGGGTGCTACAGGAGTCAGCACTGCCTGAAATTTGATAGTGACCCTATCTGCTCCAAAACCACAGGCTCCTACAACTGGTATTGCTGGCAACTCTCCAACAGTGGTTGGCAGTGCAGGCCCTAGGATACACAGTTGAGCGCTTCTAAATCCAACCAGCCATAGGCAACAAAACATATGCACCCCTCACATCACTGCAACACACCTGTATTCACGGTCTGCACAAATGATCTGGGATCTCAGCAGTGCACCTTTATCATCATCTAGTACCTTTTTCAGCCTTCAAGAGACCTTGTTGTCCCCATCAAACACCTTACAACTCCCAGGTTTCCTACTACAGCCAATGTACTGTCATTGATCCGTGTCTGTGGCATGTCTTTCCAATGCAGTGTGTTGTTATTCTTTGTGCAATTTTCAATCTGCCATGCTTGCTTGTAAGTTACTTTTCCTTCCCCATTGTGCTGATGGCTTTCTGCCTTATTTTCTTTTACTGGAAAAAATGAAAATAGGACACAAAGGTGATGGAAGCCATTGCTGCTGTCGTGACAATGTCGTAATTAAGTTTATATAGTCCACCAGGCTCCTACAGCATTCTGTATTATTTTGCTACCTGGTATCTTGATGTTTATAAATGAAACCTTGCTATTAAAAAATATCATTTCATTTATAAATCTGCATGCAGCAAGCTTCTTTTTGCAGCTTTCACTCTAACAAGCTATACATTTCCATTTCTGACGGGGCTGTGAAACCATTTTCTCATAAATGCCAATATTAGACTTAGAATAAACTTCTGCAAAGATAAATCACCCTAGAACTGCTATGAGTTATTCATATCTATTTTGCAAATAGTTCTTTATGACGGTTAATTTCCAAGCATGTTTCCTTTACAAACAGACTTTGATCATCTTTGCTTGTGCTTTTCTGTAAACCCAGGGTAGACACGTGGAATGAGAGCAGAAGGCTGTTTTAGAACAGCTTCTCTACACAAATGCCGGGTATGGTTTGCTAATAAGACTGATGGTGATAAGGAACCTTTCTGAAAGACAACAAACAGAACATGCCTAAGACTGATGCCAAGAACAAGTGGATTCTTACTGCAAGACTCGCTCTCTCAAAAGAACAGAAAACCTCACTTTCAATGCACTAGGAAGCATCAGAAAAAATCCAGATGGAGAGTGGTTGGGGGGAAAAAGGCATAATAGAGGAATCACTTGTAACAAACTCTCTTAAGTTAATTTTTCAGTGAACTTTCTTGTACATGTGCTATTCCCTTGGCCAAAAGGAGAGAATTCCTGATTGCGTCCTTCCGGACTATGAACCCAGGCATACATGGCTCCAGGCAGGCGGTAGGAGTCTGTCCCGCCAAAGCATGCACCTCTGCGGAGCAGAGCGAGAAGCAGCCGAACACCCAGGGCTGCATTTGGCGAAATGGCCAGGTCCGGTGCACGTGCTCCCTTGCACCTTCGTGTTTACATGGAGCCAGGCCAAGCTGCCCAGTGAATCTGGATTTAACCTAACAAACCTGCCATCAGACTCCGTATCAGACAGCACAAGCAATGCAGTGAAGCGTCCCAGATGAGGATAGGCAAAGGCACTGTTCTGCTGTTGTCCGGAGAGATCATTTCACCTGTGGGAAATATGGGTTCCCCTCGCCTTATGTGCAAATGACGCTTTTTTATACTAAAAAACACCAGGCAAGTTCAGTCTTACGCGAT